CGACTAGAAGAATTGAGCAAAACAATCCATGTGCCCATTTCGCGTCCAAAAATCCTAAATATATAGCCTAGCCCTATACGACTGGGTTAAAAGTCTAAAATTTTGAGACTACAAAACAGACAAAAATTTTCCCTTAACAAAACTGTACGAATACCTATTTTCCAGCAGTTAGTTAAAATCAAACTTTATAACTCTTTATGATTTTACTAAGATCTACAATTTTACTTCTAAATGATTCTTTGGGTCAACGTCCGCATTACGTCATCAATAACGAAGCCGATTTACGTACATGATCACATACTTTGATGTTAGTTTTCTCTTTTAATTCCATGCCCTTTAGAACAAGATTTCTATCATGGTTTCAGATACCGAAAATTGATGATATTTTGCAGTTAAAAAGTCACAACCCAAAGTTTATTATTTCAAAAGACACGATACATTTATAAAACCAATATCTCGCCTTGAATCTTTCATTGGTAAGCTATGTTTGCAGCAATGAAATTATCTAACCTATATCAGGTAGTATCGCATTATGCAAGACTGGCTTAGAGCATAACGTAATCCTGTAAGAGAAAAGATTTTCATTGTTTCGACTTCATAAGCTTAATCGCAAAAAGGATGTTTATATTTACCATAATCTTGTCTGTTTTTCGCTGAATAAACCGATAGAGTCAGTTTGCCCCGGGTCAAAATTTCTGCTCCTGCGATCGATGATAAATTTTGAATTGATGTATCTCGTATTAGACGCAAACTGGTGTATTCTCTTAAATTTCGAAAATCTAAAATGACATATTTTCACAAAAAAGATAATTTGTTTCAGGATAGACAATTTATTAGTCGTATCGCAAAAGTTTTCAGGTTTAGTCTAAAGGTTGTTTATTAATAAATTTGATATATATGTTCAAAGCGAGAGGCATGAATAAGCGTTGTGTGAAATGTAAAACAACGAATTCGGCTATAAAATGCAATGAATTTTTAACTTTCAAAAAAAATTAGATATATATGGTTGACTGAAGGAGCATGTGCATAACTACTGTTCCTTTTCTCTACCTCTGTATTAGTGGATCCGTATGCAAAGACTGTAAGAACCAAACAGCAAAACTGATTTGTTGAAAACATTATTTGTTGCAGCTTAGCTGACATACTATATTAAGTATTAGAATGGAAATGTGCATATGAAAGCATTTGCTGAAACCCACAAATAGTTGACCTTCAAAAATAGCACAAGCTAATGGAAGATCAGTCGACGGGGGTGGTATTTAAATGTATACGTTAACGTAGTGGCGATTATCATCGCGGAAGTTTGAGGTGTCGATAGTTTTGCAAAAATAACAAACAATAAGATGTGATTTTTATCATGCAGACAACATTGAGAAGATCAGAAAATCCTTTGTTGCAGATGTGTGTTTTTTTTTTTTTTTAATGAAAAAAAAAATTCACTTCCTTCCAATCCTATATACTAGTCACAGATTTATATAATATATTCGTTCATATAGATCGTAGGGGTATACATCTGTACAAATATAAGTAAAGCCAATGTAATGGTACTTACGAGTTATCAACTGAATTGGATGGTTTTGTCATTTTTACTATAAATTCAATTTGAAAATGACGATATGTTACTGGAGGAAAATTCTCTCAGTACTTTGTTTCGTACAAATCGTTTCTGTGTCTTGTGGGCCAATGAGAAATTATACCAACGGATATCATCCCGCTGGAGGAGCAGATCCTCGATATTTAAACTATGGAGAGGGCGTCGTGATACCAAATCTTGTAAACCCCAGAATACCTGGTCCAGAAATATCATTAACGCCTCGCCACCACTTGGAAAAATACATAGGAGTTCGTCCAGGGCCCCTGGAGTATGATTATATTACGGAATACGGCGAGGAGTATTACGAAAACTATGACGATATTTCTGAGGATGTTGTTGTCCCAGAAATAACAATTCCAATAGAATATCATGAAGAATCTACAAGCATCCAAGAAGATGTTGAAATAGAAAAAGAACCGAGTTCAAAGGCAACCACTGTGACGTACAATATTCACGAATACTACTCAACTGGAGAAGTCGAAACTCATGAAAATGGAATCAATAATTCGACGACAGTAAGCGGAAAAATCCATTGTAGAGATGGCGGTCGAGGATACAGGTGGGTACAGATATGGAACAAACTTTTATTCCACACATGTGTAATCATGAGTTACGTATTATGTATTATTCTGGGAGTATTATTATCGATTATCGTCCCAAGTCGATGAGTGAAAGTGTCGAACCCATTAGCACCCCAATATATTGTATGATGACGCTTCTTCTTTGATTTTACTCCCATAAAGAGATGTTTGGCGTACCTGTTGATTAAACGTTATTCTTTGGATTGCCTGCGTAACCCTAACTCACTATTCTTTTAGCTCGTGTTTTAAATCATGCACGCATCCGTTGCGTCGCCTGGAACGTCAAAAAATAATATATAATATCAAATCATGGTTTCAAATCAACACCTATCTTTTACAACATGTGGATGCGGCCAATGTTGTTTAGGTCAAAATATGGCGATTACATAATACATAAGAATCCAAGTTCCATGTTAAAAACAAGTATATTTCTCCGCATGTTATATATATGAGGGTTTAATAGAGTTCTAATTCATGATGGCAACATTGAAAACAAATTTTATAAAAACCAATATTAATTATGATCAGAAGTTTCGCGCGCAGAACTATTAAAAAACATAAGAGCATATTTCTCCTAAAGATATTCAAAATATAATCATGCTTTATAACCCAGATGAAATAAACGGACAGATTCAAGTCTGTGTATTTCAGTTTTGAAGTAAAATAAACAGGTCTGAGTTGGTGGAACTGAAAATGTCAACGCCGCCCAAAAATATAAAACTATATAATTGACGTGCATTGTGTTCTTTCACCGTTACTCTCAGTCGAGTTCAAAATGAATTGTATTAAAATTTTGTTGTTATTGTTATTATTTGTCTCCATCAACACGTTTTGAAGAAATGGCTTTCTCTTCGAATACTGGACCAATTGCTTTGAAATTTTCAGTGGTTAAAAGATAAAACTTTTCTCCAGAAGGCTATTACTTTTTTTTTCGCTATGACGTCATCAAAATTATGTGACTCTACGTGTCCATATATTTGAGCATAGCTCTCTTGTTTTAATTATACAGCGGTTCCCAAACACACACGCGGATCAGTTGAAGGGGAACACAATGCTAGGCGCAGAACTGATTTTACTCTTCATTTCACCAGAAAAATCCCCGTTCTTCCTAGTTTAATTGCTTGATAACGATTTCACAGGATGTTTTCACTTCGTTGAGCATGAATTGTTTGAACATAATGGGATTTGGAATCTAACAGTTAAAATAAAACTATAAATACCACTGGAATGATAAAACGGAAGGCACGAGGGCTACAAGCCTCCGGGAGGGTGCACGAGCGCTGGAAGGTTGGGAACAATTGTATCAAATAGCCAAGTCAGAAATTATTCCAGAATTAGAATATTATGCTCACGCAAGTTGTAATACATTGGCTAAGCGACGCCGAACTGAAAAGATTTTTCCAAAATATATTAGCTTCTTACTTGCAGCAGCTGCTTAAAAATAGACCTGTTTTTAACGTAAGGCGTGTAATATCATATATAAATTTTCCCGTTTTATTATGCCAACTGTATATATTTAACTTTGTCTTAAAACATGAACTGACTGGACACAAGCCAAAAGTGGCAGACGATTAAATTAAACTTGTATTTGATATTCAAGACTGGAATAAAATAAAAATTCCATTAGAAAAATGTTAACATTATTGATGTGAACGTTAACATTTTGTGCTATTCCATAACTGAATATTAATGTTCAATGGCTGTGCAGGATGCAAATAAATATATATATGTAACAATAACGAAATATTTTAATTCCAGGTAATGAGACAAAATGGCGGTATGATTTAGGCTACGTTACTAATGCTAAATGATATACAGATATATAGATCATTTTAGCTGATAAATTGTCACGGTTCATATCTTTAAATATTTTACATTGGGCGTTAGAGCAATGGGTACTTGGTGCAACGCCATACGAAAACAAATTTAAATTATGAATTGAACTAATGTAATTAGTGGAGTATGACAAGTGACTAAATGGCCTAATTCGCTAATTCGGGAACGGTGTGGTGCGCTCGTTACGATCAAATTTTTGCTTGATAATGTCTATATCTATTTGATAAATCATTGTTTTAATCGTTAATACAAGAAATAAATATGTTTTAACCTCGTCTATGGCCCGGCATTCCAAACAAATTCCGAAATAAGTAAATCATTATTATCTGGCATGATTTTAATTATGTACATTCGCAAACGCCCTGCTTCCCATGACCCTGACTTTGTGCGTCACCATCTGATTTGTGCTTCATAAATTATTTTTGTGTAAGTTTACAGTCGGAACAAAATTAATAATTGCCGACTAAATTTTTTAATCTCGACATGTGTTAGACGTTTAATTTAAGTTTATTGCGAATCTATTGATATCTTTTTTGATTTTTTATGATTTCCGAGGACAAATATCATATAATTAAAATCTTCCACATATAAAATGGAAATTGTAGTATACCATTAGGATGAAATTGAGAACTGTGGAATGTGGATGTGACATGAAATCGAGAACTGTGGTTATTTCAATTTTTGCATTTCCAAATTTTGATATGTTGGAGAGAAGGTAGAGTGCGAAACATCAAACATATAAGAATCACTGCTATAAAATATCCCCATACCGGCCAATTGAATTATATAAAGCGAATAAGCTGCAGGTCTTCACTGCAACTGACTGAAAAAAAACAAATAATTTTAATAAAAAAAACGAACGATTTCATCTGAACTTTGGTACAGCAGATTCATTACATCATCGAAGTCTATAGTTATTGATAGAAGTGAAGATTATCAGAGAACGTTCGGAAGTGTTTTCACACTCTATTAACGTTTGGACACGACCTCAGCCTTGGGGCATCAACGTGTCATGTCTGCGGAATGAAAATTGATGATTGACATATATTTCATGGAATGCTTTGAATGGTTCATAAGTTGAAATTTTCATCCTATTTCACGCATATATTTATTCACATACTATAACAAAAATTTGTTGATACAATAAAGTAAAATATAAAGTTATCTAAAAACGGAAGCAAGATAGAAACATACACTACACACTATAAACTACAGCAATGGAGTATTTTATCATATAGTATATGTAAACATAAAGGTGTGAGAAAGCAGAGAAGGAATTTACTCAACAAAATCATTACAACAATGCAAATAATTTATTGAACACATCCATTTCACAATACAGCCTCGATGGAGTGGCATATATGATATTGTTCAGTCCGTGTGAAATTCTGGACTCGTAGGGTAACAAGTTAGCTCAAACAATACACGTGGGAAGTCTAAATAAATTGACAAAAACTCCCACCCTATTTTCAAAATTTTATTACGTTAAATATAAGCATTTTTAAATTGCAGATCAGGAGAATTGTTCAAGCTTTCGGCTGATCCATGTACAACATGTAGATGTAGCAGATTCGGTCCGCAATGTAATAGAACTGAGTGTCAACCACTTCCGAGCGGATGTTTTGAATTGATACAAAGACCGGATGAATGTTGTCCCATTTGTCTTAGAGAAGGCTGCACATTTCGTAACAGGACTTTTTCATCTGGCGAGTCGATACAGGTGGTGTATGTATATAGTATTATTCATTAATTAGCTTAATGATAGTCACAAAATATTCGAAGTCTAAAAAGTGTTGAAAGGACCTGTTGTTGACCGTGTGATGCGCATTAGTCGAGCATCAAACAACAAACAATTGTATTTGTCGTACAAACTTTAAACAACCTGAATCTTCAAAGCTTTGGCGCCAAGAAAAAACATTTACAAGTACGAAGTAGATATGTGCACGCTTTCTACCCACTTTATTACATTCTATGGGTACCACCAACATTTTTCGATCGTAGAGAAACTTAGCGCTGAAATCCAAGTTACTTCTTTACATCTCGATAACAAATGATCTGCCAATGCGTTTTTGCGCTGTAATGAAAAGTATAGCAAATTTAATCCTATTTTCAATTTCTGAAAACAGTTGACAGCTTGTGAAACTTGTCAATGTGGAGATGATGGTCGTATGTACTGTAGTGTGGCGGATTGCACACCACCTCCATGCGTGGATGCTTCAATCGTAGAAGGTCAATGTTGCTACGTTTGCCCAAACGGTAATTAACATTGTTATATTAAATTGTTACCTCGTTCAATGTTGATCGTATTATACATTGTAGGAAGGATTATTATTTAAATGTAATTGCATTACAGGGCCCAACTGCTATACAACCATTCTCGATATTATTCCAATGAGACAAGAATGGGTTCCTGATCATTCCAGAAGATGCATCATATGCAGATGCTGGCATAAGCCAGGAAGTGACCAATTGTGGATGGGAAATAGAATGGTACGTATTGGCAAGCTTGTTGACATAAATAAAATAAGTATACAATGTATCCCGAGTATACCTAAAGTTTAGCTAACATGTTTTTGGAAAAGCCTTGCTCGAATTTTGTAGCTATAACTTTAAAATTAATACAACGTGTTTGTTTGTCTTTTGAATGTTTCCAAAATCCGCGTTTGGTATCCTGAGGGCACGATCTCGTCGTAACCAACATCAAAGCTTGGCGCTTAAACTTTCGTCGTTAATCATTTAACATGTTGGAAATGTCACTAATGTTTTGTTGTTTACTTGTTGCTAAATCATTATAGATATTTTTTATTATATGAATTTAGGTAAATGTGAAAAGTTCAACCTGATAATTGTCTTACATGCAACAGCAAATTAATTTATTTTCAGGCCATCTTCCCCTTATTTTCTCTCTCTCTCTAAGAGGTTCGCATTACGATTGTTACAAGAAGAACTTCTAATTGCGCAATCGCATTATTTACTTGATTTTTGATTTAATCGATAAAATTGCTTAAAATTAATATTTTATGTATGAGCATTTTTAGCACAATTACTGATTTATTTTGCTTTATTCTTAATCGTGTGAAATATGTTGAATACTTTTTAATAAACATATGTGGGGTTTTACGTATTTACGTTTATATAATATTCGATTTCTTACTGTTCCGATTCACAGGCTGAATGCAAGCGGGATCCTCGATGCGACAAATAATACTGAGCAGCAAGTAAATTATAAACAGCTTATCGGAAGAGAATATAGCATTGAAGAAAAGCCGATGAATGTAGACTAATGGTCTTTGATCGAAGACTGCAATGTGCGGAAAAAGAACGAAATCGGGCAGGACCCGACTAAAAGAAGTGAAAGAAGCTGAATCATATATACTTCATACCACAAAAACGCTGCATTAAACAAACGAGCGTTTCGTAAGACGCCGTGAGCGCTTGCTACAATAAAACAGCCGTTGTTCTTGCTAGAAAATTCATCTGGTTAGAATTAAAACATTTGCATACTACGGAAACATTATGTTAAATTGGCTTTTTTGTCATATATTCAATATTTTAAACAAAGTGTTGTTCCGTGTCATTATAATCGTATTTATGAAAATATGCGCTTCACTTTTTGTATTATGACTACATTCTTTATTGAATTTTTTTGAAGATATGCTACCAATTATACAACATACTGGAAAATTGCAAATAAACGTAAAAAGAGTTGATTTTAAAGAGGTTCAAACATGATTAACTAGGCATTATTGCGTGAATTTCAATATTTCAGTGCAAAAATAGAAATTGTTCAAATAGAATGGAGATCCGCTCTGTTGGGCTGATAACTTTCTTCTACAATGGGGGTTAACATCGCTTGGTTCGCAGCCATTTATGTTTAAAGTTAGTTAAATTTTGCAAAAATTTACCTCTGGACTCAATTCCAAAATATTTGAAATAATTACACTTAGTGAGCTGGATTTCTTTATAAACTTGATATATAAGCTGTGAATGAGTCCATTCATGAGCAGAAATTGATTTGAATTATTTCGTGTCAGAGTATATATCATTTATTTTAGATATAGCCTACATATCCCACCCGTGATTAAGTGAATGTAATAAATTTTCAACCTTTTGCAGTGAGTGTTCATGATTTTGCATAATGAAAATCATTTAAAATGTGACAATTTTGTAAAACATTTGAGCTTATTACATTTTAATTTATACAACATACTATGGGATTACAAATCGCATCGGATATTCACAGGGCATGCTATTCATGTTTTCCAATTAAATAGTTTTTTAATTCTAAGCATCTCGATGACCTTTAGTTTCTGCGAGCAAATGGCATGGTTGTTAAAATCGCACCCGCTTTTACACATCACAATATGAGTATTTTCAAAGAAGTTTTTCTTTTGTTCCACAAAGGTGCAATCTCAGCATGCGATAATCATCTTTGCAGTATATAATACTCTACTCATTCAAACACTCATCGGTAATATAACGATTAACGAGCGAAGACTGGGTAATGTATGAAGGAAAATACAAAGGTCTTCTGGGTTTTTAAATATGAAGGGACAAAAGCTATGGCTAGTGATAAAATAGTTAACTGAGGACCAGGAACCGGATTATTGACTACTGTATTAGTAATTGCCAACGATTTTAAAAGGTTAATCCAGCTGAAATAAAACTACGTTGCATAATCACAGAATCTAGTACAGTTGATTGGTCCTAGTATATAGATTATACAGCAAAATATGAATTCTACTATATCGGAGCATGGTTATAATATTATGGAATTCATCGGGTTGCCAGGATGTTCGACATTCGAACTTCGAATGTTGTACAAATTATGAAAGCTCGAGTCTTCTCTACGTGTTACATCACGGAATGCGTAGAATAAAAAATAGGGAGAAAAAAATAGGAATATCTTTATTGATATTTTTATGACTCTTGCATAATAAAAATAAATTTTAAATCTGAATCTGTGCTATTTATATGGCAGACCAGGAAGATTTGTTCATTCAACATAAATCGACGTCATATACAGCATGTAGGATGTAATGAAAAATCGTATATCTTTGTACATCCATTTACTACTCTCTGTTTCTATTAATATGTTTTAATACTTATTTTAAATATTTCACTTGCATTTTGGTTTATTTTCAAAATTAGATGTTATGATATTCCTCTTCTGGCAACGCTTATATGCTGTTTCCAAGTAATTGCTATAACGAAAACAGCTGCAGCTTTGGTTGGTAGAATGTCACTCTATATACGGGAACAATCTCTCACAAACAAATAAAAAACATATTTTATTTTTAATTTTTGATTAATTTTATTATAATTGTTATGGCATTAATTCCATCGAGGGCCAATTTTGTTTGGTAGGGCATCACAAAATTTAGACTCAAGTATGCTCCCAGTGGTCGAAAAACTCAACGTGATTTTCAGTTAGCAGCATGGCCCCTTTCGCAGTTTTTTATGCTTTTCTTGTGTAGGCTAGTTATATTTTTGTATTTGCCAACTTTGTTCTTCGATCAGGTGTTCGAGTTGCTTTTTAAAATAAATCCTTCTTTGTTTAGTAATTTTTATACATCAATTTAAATAAATATAAATTAAAATGAATCCTGAACGACTGGCCCAACTTCAAAAAGACGTCAGAATTGGCGGAAAGGTGAGTTTCAGCTGTCCGCTTAGCTGTTCTAACCTGAAATGAGCTCGATTATATTATGTGATTTAATCACACTATCAAACAATTACAGGATTGGGGTGGTACCAGTATACTGGTATAGCATATAGTCAGACAGTTGTGGACTGCAACAGCAAATAGTTTTCTCAGTTCCAGCTGCTGCTACTTCAGTACGCCTACTTTCTCAGTTTTTGCTGTCCTATTTTGTGTCTTAAAAATACATTTTTCAGGTTTTCCATTTGGCTCATTTCCGCATTTTTGTTTTCCCACAAGGTTATATCCTACTAATATTTGTGAGTATTATACAGAAAATGAGAAAGTGAGATATATTGGTGCACTCACAGACCAGCAGACTCAGGCACTGGCATGTATAGACTCATGAGATTGTTTTGAATCGTATGATTCTTGAAACCAGAATTCTACATCCATCGTTTTTTTTAATAGTCTATGGAATCCCAAAATCTGTTCACTAAACAACAGCCTCTAATAAATTGTCATTCTAAATAGAATTAATTATTCCCCACTTTTCAAAATATACTTGTACTATCCTTTATAGTGGCCTATTGACGATAATTCGTTGTTATTTGTTACCTCAATTTATTTTATCACATTCTTTTTCAGGGTTCGGCAAGGAGGAAACGAAAAGTTATTCATAAAACTGCAACAGCAGATGATAAAAAATTACAAGCAACACTGAAAAAATTGTCAGTAAACAGTATCCCAGGCATTGAAGAAGTATGTTCATCACTATATTGCTCCAAAATTTCTCGAGATTTGTAATTAGAAAATGTGTAATATGATGTTTGGAAAATTACAGTCTTAGTACTTAGTACTAAACTGTTTAAAACATGAAAAACAAGTGTAAAACCAGACTTACTACTTACTGAGAATAGTGCAAAATACACAAATAGCTTTAAACAGAGCAGAGCAAAATAGTTAACCGATTTTGGCTCGGCGTTCTGGCACATCATGCTAAGTGTTAAAAATACGCTCGCCACCGCACCTTTGATTACCCTGCATGGGTTGCCAGGTTTGAATCTCATGCAGGAATAGTTATGTGTGAGAGGATTGCTGGACTCGTCGCCGCCAAAGGGTGGTTCACGTAAGGTGACGCAACCACTGGTTGGTTACGGCTACCTTCACCCTCAAGTCCATGCTTACAAAAACAAATAACTGGCTAACTAATCCCATAACAGACATTGACTGGTAACCGGACGAGTGGCCATGGTTTGCCATATGATTAAGCAGTCTCGTCGACTTTCCTACCCACGGGATAAAATATGTAAATTCTGTTTTGTTGTTTTCTTCTGTTTGATAAGTTGTAAAACCCGGAAAATTATTTAGGTTATTGCTTGTTTATCATGAATTAAAAATAGAAAAACACAAGATAATATTTATGTGTATTTCATCAATTAACAGGTCAACATGATTAAGGATGATGGGACGGTTTTGCATTTCAACAATCCAAAAGTACAAGCAGCACCATCATCAAATATGTTTGCCATCACTGGACATGGAGAGAATAAAAGTGAGACATGTTTGTTTGCTTTATAATGTTGTCTGCACTACAATTCCTAGATATTTTAAAGAGGAATGTGGCCTTCCATTTGTCATGTGAATTTTTTTTCATGAAAAAGTTATAGGCTACTTTGTGACCTTGTGTACTGCATATTGATGATGTCATAATAATAAAAATAAAGTTATCAGCCAGTGCATCTATAAAATGGCGTTTTGTACTTAAATTTTAACTCTTAGTAACCAAATAGTGTTCAATGCAGGCATATTAAAATTGTGCAATGCTTCCCAATCGAGTTAGCGAGAAGTAACTGTAAATCCCTCACCCTGTTGTCTGTCAAAAGCATATTGAACTGACCCTCAAACTCTTCAGTGAACTTTATAATTGAACATTAGCAAGTAACGCGAAAGTACATTACCTAATTATTGTATGAGGCATACATTGCACGAGATGCCTAGGGGATTACTTTTCTTATCACAGATAAGCGGTTTCCTATCTAGATCTTTCTACTGATCAACTATTTTTATATAAAAATTAATTTTATATATATGCTATAAATATTGTGTGCATGAGGTGGCCTTGCTGATATTGCTCTTTAGATTCCTATACAGATAATTATAAGTATAATTTAATAAATTTTTCGTTTTATTATTATAGAACTATCTGAGATGATACCAACAATTTTAAACCAACTGGTATGTTGTTTTATTCATTTTTATATATAATAAGTGCTCACAAATAGTACATTAGCAATTTGAAATTTCAGAATCATTTTTTCCTGAAAATGTTGGATACCAAATTTTATTCATTTAAGGTATAGAGATTTAGCTTTTCATTAACGATACTGTGTTGTGTGTAAATTTTCGAATAATTTATTTTTTCATACCTTTGCTGTGTTAATTTTTATTATGCCTCAAAAAATACAGATCTTTTGTCTGTTCTAAGATTAATGCTTTTTATAAAGTATGAAATATAATATGATTCAAACTTTAATGCTGCCAATTATCTCACAGGGATCTGAAAGTATGAATGCATTGAAAAAGAACGCTCCTATAAAACAGGACGGTACAGGTATGCCCGCTGTCCCGGAAGAGATTGATGAGGAAGACGTTCCAGGTATGAATTATTCCATTACAAAATATGACTAAGCAGTCATAAGCAACCCTTCAATGTGATATCATCCATTTCCGTTTGTATACAGTTTTGAATCTTTTTTTGTATATTTATTTGATCCATCAGACTCTTTCCTTATAGGTCCTTCAAGTTGAAGTTTCCATTGCTCATCCAAAATTTCATCTTTTTTCAGATCTTACCGAAAATTTTGACGAAGCGTCAAAGGATGAAGGAGTTTAAATTTTTATATTACTTGAAACTGGCAACAACGAAACAAACTTTCAGTCCTTGGCAATTAAGTCTAGTCAGCAGGCCTGCATATCAAACAGCTGGTATCGTTCAAATAACACATTTTTCTTTTGTTTTTCTCCTATTTGTAAAAGAACGAGGACTGTGAAATGCGAGCCAAAGTATGATATTATTTGTGAATTGATGGATTTTCTTACTTCATGACAAATAATGTGTATTTCCTAATTTTATTCCGCAAATGTTCAGACTTTGCCCTGTGATTTCAGTGAATCTAAACTACATTTCTGTTGAGTTGTTTTCCAGACAGTGGTTTTGCGCTCTTTAAGAGCACAACTTTGTACTTTTCAATATGATTTGGACGTTTTTTATTCATGTCCTCTGATAGTTTCTCTCTTCCTCTGTCAGTTTGATGCAAACACTTGTGCTCATGCTATCATATTCGCATGTCACATTCTATTCACTTAGTGAAGTCTAGGTTGCAGTAGTCCCTAACTTTCGAATTTCTTTTTGATTTCTGGATTGTACGTGGCATTGTTAAAATATTATTCTTAAAGATTTACTAGTTAGTGTGAATATAACGCAATCATGACTCACTAAAAATTCATTTCACTGATTGAATATTATAATAAAACATTGGATGAATATACCCAACAAACCATCGTTTGACATAAAGAAGGTTGAATAATACTAAGTTATAAAGAGTAAATTTGTAAATAAAGGCCACACTTTGAATATTTCAATTATTGTTACATTGCATTATGAATGTGTTATACATATAAGTGGAACTCCTGGATGGTTTTTTGTTATAAAGTATGCTGCTATGTGTGTGCTTAACAAGGAGTTTCGTTTCAAGTGCCACCTTGGAGGATCTTGTTGAGAGTATTTTTCAATGTTTTCTAGAATCGTGATATCATTTCTACTGGTGTGAAGAATACACTCTGATATCAATGTCCTCATAATTTTGAAATAAACTGGTTGTGTATAAAGATTGCAAGTATCAATTCATTTGCTGAGGATTCTGGAATGAATATTAAGTTCCAAGTCATTTACAAATATCTACTTGTCTGTGGCTTATATGAATGTATAGGACCAGAATGTCACGGTAATCAAGGCCCCATTTCATCAAATTACATTATCAGCATGTACAAGTTGCTAATTGTGATTCCTTCCAGGCAGGGGTAGTGGGATACAAGCTGGGGTAGTACGGTAAATCTCTCGGTCAAATGCAAAGGTAGTCGTCAATTTGTACATTATCCATTAGAGGAGGTGACGTTATTTTAGAGGTCTCCTAGACTTAGAGTTACGCTCGTCCAGGACAGAGAAGGTTGATTTCGATAGATCTACAAAATACAGGCCAATGCTGTCATTGGAAGATCAGCTTCGTCTAAATTCGGGAAGCATGTATCACGGACCTTCTTTAATGTCCATATTTCTGTTGTAATACATATTATTTTACGTTTCATTATGCCATTCGGCGGAACACTTATTGATCGAATTTTTGTGGGGTCTTACGTGCTTTGTATTACGAAACTGCGACTAGTTCATGTGCTGAAAGATCATAAGATGGGCCCAACTGAGCTACAAAAATATCACAAAATTATGACAATGTAAACTTTCCGACTGATACGCTTTAGCCGGTGAACGAAATAACCAGCTTATCACTTGGGCGGCTATCGCCTGACTTGTCTCCCAAAACTAGAGGGATAAGGAAACGAAACGCGGTTTTAAAAATACTCAACGTTCTCTACCTTGTGCACTTCGGTCCTTACAAGTAGATATGACTTACGTTGATGGGCGCGTATTGTTGCAACACAATAGAAAACGTGTGCACTAAGTTTTTATTATGATGTCATCGGTTCGGAAGATAAGACGCTAGATTCCGTGGCCTATCGCAGGACTAGATCCCATTCCCGATGTTCAGGCCTATAAAGCGATTTGCTAAATCGAATGAAGAATACATTTACAGCTCAGAGCACACGTTTCATGTCATACATTAATTTAGCTGCAACAATGAACCAATTGTAGAAAAATAGTGGGGAGTCCGGTTACCTTGATAAAGCAGAAAATGCTTGGAGGTTTTATACATAGAAAATATGAGTGACGACGGGTAAAGTATGAGGAGATTTGATATTTGTTGCTGCCATGGTGGCAAGAAGTACAGCTTTCTTTACCACATATTTCACTTACGGTCTTGTTGGTAACCAACTACGCACGTACGAGCCTATATGCTACACACTGATTGAGTAACCGCTGCTACCCCAGTGGGTCGCAACCGTCGATATGCGGACCGACATCTGAACTCTGTCACAACAAAAATCCATGACTATCGAGGCTAGCTAGAGATATCTCATCCTTGATCGTGGCATATCTCACTGTAAGTTGCAATAATGTATAGTACTTTATACACATATTGCGGAGCTAATATCGATTGTGTTTTATCACAAGCAGTTAGCATATTATGTTGCTTATGTTACTCTTCATATGCAAAACAACAATTATTGAATATAAGAAAAATGAAATGTTAAAACATTACAGAGTTATAGTTTCAAACTTACAAAAACAAGCTACTTCTATGGAAAAACTATTGCTCTGTTGATCAAAACAAAGCAAATGACTTGACTGCTGGTGCTGACTGCTACAAAATGTTTGCAGAACCTTCTTTGGCCCCTCGTTTGTCTCGTATACCGGCACTGGAGGCAACAAAACAATCACTAACGTTAATTTTGTTTGTAAATAATTTGTTAATGCTATGGTCAGCCGTTCCCGAAAGACTGGGAACTACTGGATCGATATTGCAATCTACTAATCCACTGGTATGGATAAATGAGCAGCCAGTGTTTTTTTTTCTCAGTGTTACAACAGTTCATTGAAGCGGCAACGAAGTTTCTATTCAAATACAGATTTGTGTTTTGGCAAAAATCAGTACCGAAAGTAGCTATTGTCTGGTATGCCGGTGACGTGGGACGTGTGAACAAGAATATATACCCCTTCTGCGGTTCCTCCAAAATGTCGTGTCCCACGTGTCAAAATGTCTTGTCCCAATTGTACCGCAACGATTACATCTGTATGATTCATTCAAATAGGAGTGACTTGAAATTTGTGGATAAGACATGTTTCGTAAACCTTGACCTCCTGATGACATAAAATTAAGATATGCTCAGCAATTGCAGAATGGATGATAACATTATATACAGCAGCCACCTTGGAACAAGTGGGACACGACATTTTGGAGAATATCTCCATTCTGTGTCAATTTCTTCCAGAAACGTGTGTTTAGTGTTAGCAAAGATTAGTACCCATAGGGCCATAACTAAAGGTCAGTGTAACAGGCTGCCTTGCTACTGATGTGATAGTAGTATGCGGTCTAACAAGTTTCCATACAGCTCAATTACCGAACATTCTGCTCTCGGTGGATGGGCCTACAGCTGGCATAGACAAACTAGGGCTAGTGGACCAATTACGGCCCGCTGAGTTTTTTAATATGACCTGCCTGATGCTGCCACAACCAAACTAAAACCAAATTTTGATGTTGTAGCTAAAAATAAGCTCAAGGAATTATTTGAGATTGCGAATAAATTTAGTTTTAGCACGAGGCTTATTGTTTTCCAGTTTTGCTTTTATAACACTGTTAATATTGTTCAAAAATGTAATTTTTTGTAGGTAATTTTTTTGGCCCCTGGTCCAGAAACCTTGCCCACCCATGGCATCGAAATTTCTGTCAAAAAGTTTCAGCACAAGTGTTCCACGTTGGGTTTTGAATTTAATTCTGACACTCCCGATGTTCGTGAGAATTATAATTACAAAATAATCTACACAACGCATTTAGACAGCAGAAAGCCTTTTGGTGGTCCTGTACAAAATATAAACAATAGATGCAAACATGAATCCTCCGACGATGCCCATACTGCTTTCAATTAATTTCTCTTGCTTTTCCATCATTTTTTGTGCTTTATCGTAAGGGACCGTAGTAAAATGAATTAGAGAAATTCTTCCAGCAAATACTGATGGAAAGCGGGAATGTAAAAAATTTTCGATCTTCCGTCGTAATATAAACCACGGTTTTCTGGCTTGAGATCCCAAGACTTTGTAATTGTAAAGAGACAGATCAACGGCAGCATGAGCGGGACTGACGCGGACTTCAGAAAATTTGGGAAGAATTTGTGAAATATCGAATGCAAAATTGTCCAACAGTCGATCCAGAATCAAAGCATCTTCTAGTCCGCTATTCAAACCTTGTCCAGAAAATATCGCCATGGCGTGCGCTGCGTCACCGATTATTAAAGTTTTTCCACAATGAAACGAAGAACACTTTATTGATATCAACGACAGGGGTGGTGTATTGAAAAAGGAAGATCTTAGAGTTAATTCACCTATCATGGGTATTAACTCGGCGAAATTATCCTGAAAAAAGTGAATGACGTCGTCACCAGTAACGACGCTAGCATACATTTCGAACGGCATAGTCAAAGTACACGTAAAGCTTTTATCTATATTTGGAAAAGCAGCGAGCATAACTTTATTTCTCGGCCAAAAGTGTACGTGATGAGGTGCCAAAGCAAAATCTTGTTTTTTTGTTGGTGGTATGCGGAATTCTTTATATCCCAGATCGATGTATGTTTGACTGTAATCAATTCTTCCCTTAAGCATTTGTCGTCTAACAGCTGAGTGAGCACCGTCGCATCCAATTAGAATGTCAGCAGTTTTGTATTCCTCAGCTTCGCTTGTTTTAAATATAACAGAAGGGTGCAATGTATCACATTTTATCAATTTGTGTCCAAAATGTATTTTAACATTTTCACTTTTCTCGGCTTCTGTTAGAAGCTGTCGATTTAGTTCAAGTCTACTTATGGAAAGCAAACAGTGCTCTCCTCCTGTTTCATATGGTATTTCGTAGCACATTCCGTTCTTGGAATGGAAATATCTGTAGATATATATTTAGAATTAAAAATTCAAGAAACTCAACCAGGCTGACAGGCTTTCCTGAACTTGCAATGTAAAAAAAAGTGCTCAAGTTATATTTATTTAACTATATTTCAAATGCGAACACTTCAATATTTTAAATAGCATAGTTAATGAGTAATATGACAATTTTATAATCAGCAATGGCAATATTTGCAAATGGCGGTGAATATTTTTAATAACACTTAACCCGAGTACATTGGAACCCCAAGATTCTCGATTTTTTTGTCGATTCCAGCATATTTTAGTGCCGTCATCCCCCTTAAACTTAGCGTCAAACTTATGCTTCGACCTGTTATGAAAAGGCATGAAAAATACACGGTAACTATACTCATATTTCAGAACCTTTTTCCAACTGCCAATCAACATAGCAGTAACTAAATTTTGAATAATTGACTATCAATGATGAATATATTTTCTTCTCCACTTCCTCGAATAAAAAGATAGTATCATTCGAAAAGTTGCACGCTTTGTAGGCGAAATTCGAAGCATTTCACGTAGGATTGCAAGCTCAGCAAGTGGCAACGATAAAATGTTGAATTATAGACTACGCCGATGATGTTTAGGTTAAGGTAAAAAGCGACTCAAATTCACTTTAAAATTCAATGATAAAAATTGTACTTCGATTCTTTAGATATTACAATAACCAATAGCTCATCCCTTTTATAAATTGAGGTTATGATATGTCAACATTTGGTATGCGATGTCTGTAATCATCAAATTTGTAATCAATTATAAAAAACGTCTCACCTGCCGTATTATCATCCAACCTAATATCAGGTCTGGCTTCGTAAAGATCAACTTTAAATCCTTTGCGGCCGAGAAATAGAGCTGTCAATGTTCCGACTGGTCCGCCCCCGACGATAATAATTTGTTTCCGACTTTCGTCCATTTTTTGCTTTGTAGTATCTTTGTGTAATAGTTATCGATCACAACTTAGAAGTCACCAATTTTATTCAGGAAATCTGACTAAATATCAGCATCCGAACATTCTGTTGATATTATGATATTCACAGTAAAAGAAAATACTCATTAATGCTCCTTCATTTTAGAATATATACAAATCCACCTACAGCTAATATTGTAACACTGTCCTGCTAATTAGGCTCAGAAAATGTGAATTATGCGTTGTGACCAGTGTTTTCAATAACAGGGATTATCGACATTTCATAAATAACCCACGAAACAACCCTTCCAACCTCACTACCAAAATCGATCTAAAATGTAAAACTAGATAACCTTTGGTTGGGCCATGTGTATATTTAGAACTGATGGCCAACAATGCAGCTTGTCTTGACAAGATTATTGATTATCCTTCATACAGATGTCATTGCGTATGTTCTGAATAGGGGCAACTGATCGAGTGGTATAAACGAGAAAGAACTGCGAAACCAAAATATTGTATACTTAAAAGCATCTGGCATATATGCAATCCGACAATTGCTACGGGCGACTTGAACGCAGCTATCCGTGTCCTCTCCTAAGTCCAGGCATAGTAATTTATTATTCTTACAATCACTGATGTGGAACATCGAGATAGCCAATAATGCGATTACTCCACTAAAAACGTGCGTACCCGGTAGGAATGTAAGTTTTGGATATTTTTTCTCTAATCAAATCAGAATTCTTGATTGGAATATTTCTAAATCTGATTTATTTATTTAGTACAATCATCATATGTTATAGTTAACTTTCTGCAAATTTGGAATAACTTCATGATAAATTGTGAATTAAAATAGGATTTAAGAAACTAAGGATGAAACTCTTCGGAAAATACATTCATGGATGCTTCAAATAACCAATCTATCTATCTATTCAAAAAATTTAGTTCCTCCAAAACTGTGACCCATATATATGAAAATATAACAACCTCACAAACTAAACGAAAGGACGCTTTGAATCGATGTTGTGACAACGACGGCCGCATTTGCCATATGAAAGGAACCGGCAATGATAGCTGTGTTAAAGAGCCTGATGGATTTCCAACAAGTAATGGAAGAAAAAAAGAATATATATATTTATGCACGAGGAAAGAACAATACTATATTAAATAAATATACAAAATACATTTAATATGAAGGCATAGTATATCTGAGCGGAATAAGATACAGTATAGGCCTATAGGGGAAGCTAGCTAATAAGCAATTGCGGATCATTTAACGTTGTGATATCCAGAAATGTGAAAGAAAATAATTTAAAAAAAATAGGTTAACGAGTAATTTAATATAATAGAAAGAATTTCCGTGCAAATATAACGTTCAATATGATCAGTAAACGCCGTGCATACTGAGATTTAATCGTAAATATATACTACTACATTTAATTTAACTCGATGAAAACTGTACAAAAGCAGCAAACAATTTCATTCCCACCCACAATCAATTTATTAACGAAACGCGCTACGACTCGAGTAAATGAATCTATTCAATTTGTGTAGCAATACGCAATTGAAGTTAAATTTAGCTCATGTGCAAGGAAATGATTTAATTGGGACAACTTAAAAAAGTTTTAAAAAAAATGCTAGAATCTAGACTTTTCCAAATTTGAAATACATATATATATATATTACAGAATTTGATTTATTCAAACGGTATTTTATCAAGTCCTCCCTCCGCAATGGCATTGACCTATAAAAAAAAAAGATAAAAAATAAACCTCTCCATCTGTAATGTTTTCCTAACTATTCGAAATTCGAATAAACCTAAATATCAGGTTATGAAAATCATTTTCGTTTTATACGCAAAATACAAATTTACATAGGCTACTACCTATTATATATCATTCGTAAAAACGTCAAATTCAATGTTGGGACTATAGTGTTAAAATGGTTCGTGGAATTAAATACAATTTCTTTTTACAATATACTCCACTTACAAATTTCGTTCGAAATACTCCACGGTACTCCAACACAGGTCCTGAATATTTTCTTTTGTTTCTCCCATTCGTACGTTTTTTACACTATTCTAAATAAAAAATATTTAGCCTCCAAACATTTCTTTCTGTATGAAGAATTCCTTTCATTACGACCAAAAGCTCCTAACAGTACAAAATCGATCCCTTTTCTATCAAAGCAGTCAAGTTGTTAAACATATATATTAATTCTAAAATTGTGAGATTGAACGGAATAGCTCTTCGGATATTGACTAGGAAATCTGAAAATAACAAAAATTGAATTTGCAATATAATTGTTAACAACGTTCCTTCAAACAACCTTCAAAAACGAATAACATAATTTGAAACCAATAATTACTTTAGATATCATGCACACTACCAAGTCGCGTGCCCTTCTTCCAGGGTAACTTACGTGTTTGCTGTATGCGTAAAATTTCCTTCCTCAGATTGTGTTGTTTTGATTTGTCAATGCGGGATTTCCTGGTAACATTTTTGCCTTTGCCTCCGATTACCAGTCTAATATTAGGTTTCATAAAATCTCACAATCATGTTAGGTTGATTGCCGTTCGTTTTTCGTAGTATGATTTTCTGTTCAGAGAACCAGAACATACTACTAATCATTTTACTGCAATAAAATAAACATCAACAAAACATATATCTTGCTAACCGTGGAATATTTTGCCAACTACAGCTTTACTCGACTGCGTTTGAAAGAGATAAACAAGCCCTACATTGCACTGTCTTTCATTCTGAAAATATTCTACCCGATTTGCCGAATTTTAGCGCGAAACTAATGGAAGTTTTCACTGTTAATGAATTTTAGCGAAAATTGCAAGTAACCTTGAAATACTCACAATAAAACTATATAAGCCACGGCGACCAAATTTGGAGACCAGAAACTACAGGCAATTGCAATCTGGGAAAATATCTCTTTCTGTCTAACAAACCCTAGTTACTATTCATAAAGAGCATATGAAAATACAATACCAATGATTTTTTTTGTCGTCTCAATTGGAAGAAATTAACTAAACAATGTATGATATATATACAATGAGTGAAAAAAGTGTGAATATGGAATGAGTGGAAGGTAAAGGCACTGTTACATTGCAATACATATAAAAATTATTCTTTCCAATAATGCTTCTGTGTGTGAAATTTTTTAAAACATGGAGTAATGCATAGTGGCACTTTGCACAACTCACACATGTAAGAAGTTCTTTTGTTGTATTTTTTCTTTCGAGATCCTGTTGCAGCACTGTATCTTGAAGCTATCGCACTGCATACTCTGCAGGTTCTTGTCGGATGTTCAGCACTTGGAGTTGCTGGCATGTAAGAAGGAAAATGTCTACCAGAAAATCGTGATGTCCAAGTTGTATCTGAAGAAAGGCCAAATCCTGATCCTTCAACAGCACCAGTTTCAGCAAATTGGTGGGAAATATTCTCAATGAATTGTAGTAGCGATAATTTTTTCTTTGAATCTGTCTGTAGAAGATTGTATATTTTTGAGAATTCACGATTGCTAAATTGATCAAGTGGAAAAACATTTTGATGTACCATTTTACAGTTTTTCGGTTTGTTCCGTAGTAACTCAGCATTTGATCACTTTTGTCCACACCTCCCATGTGACGATTGTAGTCATCTACAATGACAGGCTTTAATTTATCTTTCCTTCCACCAGGAGCTCTTACTGACACTGTAGTCATTGCATCATTGTGCACAGTGGACAGCATGATGACATCTTTCTTATCTTTCCATTTGAGGGCTAAGAGTTTGCCCCGACGACAGGAGAGAATTGAACCCCGCCTCAAATTTTGACCTAGATATTCTTTTGGCATTTCTTTTCTGTTTATCATACATGTGCCAACGGCATATGTATTCCTTTGAGACAGAGCATCATAAAGTTTGGGGGACGAATAGTACCTGTCCATATATATTATATGCCCTTTGTCCATGATCTTCTCGCACAGATTCATCACAAGATTGAAAGGGGAAGAATCTCCTACACTTGTTGCGATTTTGAAACCGAAGCAGTAGCCAGACTCAGCTTCACATACTTCAAATAATTTAATTCCCCACTTATGTGGTTTGGCTGGATTATATGCCCGAAATCTCACTTGTCCTTTGAAAGGACACGTCCCTTCATCCAAAGATATTTTTTGCTTAGGATACAGAATATTTTCAAATTTTTCATGTAACAGATCTATGACAGGACGAATCTTGTGCAATGGGTCATGACCAACTGTCCCATATGGTGCATATGTGTTGCTGTCATTGAACTTTAGCATCCATAATATTGATGTAAATCTGTTTCGGGACATGAGAGACGGACAAAAGGTTTCTGCATAAGTGGGACTTGTTGACCAGTACAGTCGCAACTGCGGTTTTCTGACTATGCCGGTGTGGAGCATTATTGCAAAAAAAATCTTCAATTCGGGAATTGTAACTGGTTTCCAGGTTCTCAATATTGAACGGGGGGAAGCGGATGACTGAGAAGCACTAATTTTTTGTGCGGCATATAAATTTGTCTGGTCTTTGATATTTTCAAACAATTCATTAGTAAGAAATTTGCTGACTACATTGATTGGTGTCAAATCACCACATGATATATTAATTCTCGGGACACCAGTGAAAGGTGGAATGTTAGGGGGATGACTTGGGTCTCCTGGCCAAGAGGAAGGTGGGGGTTCAAAGTTCACTGGCACAGTCGCCCTAGGAGTTATAACAGGCTCCGGTTGTGGAGGAGATACTTCCAGACTCCTACGCCGTCCTCTCGACCATGTTCTTTTCAATGGTCTGCCTCTTGATTTTGTTCTTCCTGTAGGAGTCGTGCTTATGGAGGCAGATGAGTTACTTGGTACATCCAAACTGGAAAATTTCCTTTTTGATGGTGGAGTTGTGGGTTCATCGGAAAAGGAGGTCGAAACGTCTTCCGACTCCCACTCATCTCCAGAACTGTAAATGAACAATTTTAATCAATCATAATGTACATCTGCTGAGTAATATTTGAATAAATATCAAGAACAGATTTATAAGATATATCAGTATATAGGGCCAATATATTCAGATATCTGTCTGTCAGTGGCGGCTTGTAACTCAATCAGTCATTTCATTCAAGCTTCGTTCGGAACTTGTGGCCTCGCTTTGGGCAAACTTAACATAGAAAGTAAGTATTTTCAATATTGCAAGTCACCCTGGCAAAAACATAATGCTGTGATGAACATAAACTTAGCTTATATCGAGACTGTTGAAAAAAAAACAACGGAAAGTAGGGTCTCATGTAGTTTCGTACCTAACATACTTCTAGTGGGCGTAGCATAACAATTTTTTCACGTGTCAATCCTAACCCCCACCTGACCACAACATCCAAAAATTACGTCACTACGACGTCAGAGTGACGTAATAGAGCCCTTCAAACTATGCGAACTGTCATCCGAGACGTCCAGACGAGAACCCGAAATCGAACAGCCATTTCTCTCGTTTTCTCGTCGCAACGACCCCGATAGGAGAAAGATCGCTGACGTTAGTCAGTTCTTTATCGTCGGCGCCGATGCCATTTCGGGCGATCGTACGAGAATTTGGCAAGCTCTATGACGTATTTGTGACGTCGTAGTGACGTAATTTTTGGATGGCGTAGTCAGGTGAGGGTTAGGATTGTCATGTCAAAAATTGTTATGCTACGCCTACTAGAAGTACGTTAGGTACGAAGCTACACAAGACCCCGGAAAGCATACCTGAATCACTTACCTCTCATCAAAATCACTTTCCACCTCACTTCCCGAAGATAATTCCATGTTAAAATTTCCAAACAGAATGCTGCAGCGCCAATAAAGTTATAACTAACACAACACAGTCAACAATATATATGAGGTCGGCTTTCTGCAACGCCGTCTTTGTAAACAACCGGCGTGTTCCCGCCGTCACACGGACGTGTTGAAGCGGAACAGTGACGTCAAAAAGTCGAGGGGGTATAGAGGACTTGCACGGGTCACGTGACATTGTTACTGGACGGCAATAAAACAAAAACGTCCATTTGGCTCCTGTCAGTTGCAAGTCGGATTATACGTTTGCGTTTCGTTTGGCTGTTGAAAATGGTTATTTCGTTGTTCTGTTGGCTGTACGTATAGTATAGACAACGAAATGGATCTTCAGTAATATTCCACTGATTTCAAAAGATCCTGAACGTCGCGCAATGTGGATATCATCTATTGCCTATTGGCAGAACTGCTTGGTGTCAAGTCCAGAAGCCATCTTACTTGTGTTTCACTGTTTGCGGACAGCACTTCGTTGATGGTGAGTGATAGTGTGCCGTTATCAATTTCTTTAAATATTCACAAGCTCCCTCATTTCAATGGAAAGCAGATGACAAATTACTGTTATCAGTGGGCCTAGTTGCAGACTTGACTTGTGTAAGACAGTAAGGAATTAATAATCAATAATCTAATAATCAACTACTGTTATTAGTAGGCCTAGGCCTAGTTGCAGACTTGACTTGTGTAAGACAGTAAGGAATTAATCTAATAATCAACTACTGTTATTAGTAGGCCTAGGCGTGGGCCTACTTGCAGTTGCAGACTTGACTTGTGTAAGACAGTAAGGAATTAATAATCAATTGCTGTAAGGTATTGTTTCCCTAATTAGCAGGTAATCTATTACTAAGTGTGAAAGGTTGAATAGATAACTAAAGTTTAACGCCAGTGGTCATGCAAAAAATAACCAGAATTCGCCATCTAGGAATACGCTCGCCACCGCATCTCTGATCACCCTGGTAGTTTCACAGGTTTCAATCCCATGCGGGGATAGTTATGTGATAGAGGATTGCAGCTCTACTCCCACCGAGGGTGGTTCACATGATCGCTGATCGGTTACGACCATTCCCCACCATCCAAGTCCATGCTTCTGAAAACAAATAACTGGCTCCCCCCAGATAAATCTTATCCTAATGGTGCTTGTACAGCTGATTCAAAATGTCTTTTTATTGTCATTGGTAAAAAAGATATGCTACCCGGAATCAAATTCATTTACGACTAGTCGCTGTGGTGGGATATGGATATAAACTTCACACTCCTTGATCGTTAGATTTTATGAAAACTCTTATCTGTATCCATTATCTTACAGATATGGGTGCGACCATGGAATAGATGGATGGCAAAGTATAAGTTGCAACAAGACCACAGTGGCACAAGACCTCAGCTTGCGTGACTTGATAAATACATCCTCAGTAGGCCTATCCATTTATTGATGCTCATCGTAATGACAAAGTAACTTGTCATTACTGTGGATTGGTGGAGATAAAGTGTCCATTGTGCTTTAACTCTTTGAACTCTGAATCCCCAGAACGATGCTACTCTCTCACCCTGACCTCCCACGGCGTCGCATCGATTCGACGCGTTAAAAAATTGTAATATCCCTAATTTTAAATCAAAATAACTTCTAAACCATTAGATATCAGATGGTCTGTAATATATCATATAAAAGCTTATCTAGTCTTTTATTTTTAACTGGCATTATTTTTCACGAGATGTTTTGATGAGATGTGTAAGCCTATTTGTAGCCCCATCTACTATTTTTTTGTATTTTGGTAATATTTAATACATTTCTTAGAAATGTATCATCAATATAAGTACAATTTTGAAAAGTATACAAAATTACCTTTCGGAGAATATACGTATGACATTCTTAACATACGCATAACTCATTTTATTGCAGAATTTGTACTATCGATTCAAATGGTTTGCGAACAAAATTTATCAACTATTTGACGCCAAGTTTGCGTAAGGACGCAAAGGGCGACGACGACATTGTCGTGATAACGTTCATGCGACGTATCGTGCGTAACTCTTTGCGTGAGGTATATTGCGCAATTGCACATCTGGTCGTTCACAGCTTGAGGGCAGATTGTGGCTTCATTGCATTAGTATCATATCCTCGGCCGCAGATAAAACCCTTTCAGACGAATTTTGATCGAACATAGTAAAATTGCTAGAATATAAAGGCCAATTTATATACGTTTACTATTTGGATATGGGACGAAAATGAATGGCCAAAACGAAATATTTGATCCTCATGAATTTATGAGGTTCCGCCGGAAACATCAAGGCTAATTATTCACCGTTAGATATCATGAAGATTGAATAAAAAAAAACTGATAACGGGTACACGGAAGACATGGTGGCACCAGTAGCTCACCTGGTCAGTGTTTTACATTTTGCAGTCTCATTAGATTTTCGAAATTACTGCATATACGCTACATTCCTGATATCGCTATATTTACAATGGATTTTAAACGAAAGCTTTGTCCAGATGAAATATTGGATAGTATTCATCTATCGGAAGAAGAAAATATGGCACAATAAAACTCAGCAATAGCGCTAAACAATGCATCCATCGATATGTTCCATCATTCTGTTTTTAAAAATCCTTATTTTGGCTATTCGTATTTTTCATATCTTTATGCAATTAAAACGGCAATAACACTGCGTATTGTGTGTTTTAGTCGAACCGATGTAATGCGTAAATTTCCCCGTGTATCGTTTACAAGTCGTAAGTCGAGTACGAACACGAGTACGAACTTAAGTAAATGACGTTACGAGCATGCGAGGAAAAGTGTTTCTCGTATGAAACGTAAACGTGCTACGTGCCAACGTAATTGCTTAACGTCGCTGCGTAACGGCGTAAATGTGTTAGGTCGTTATTTACGTCACCTTGACGTCGCCTCGATCTTGCGACAAACGAAATCACGAATAAAAATGCTTCTAAAATTTGAATGGTGCAACATAAGTTCAATCTAATGGTATCACTGGAAAGCTATCTTCAAATTCTACAAATTTTGTCGATAATGTACTAGGTTTAATCGAAAACAAATTTTAGTTTTGTCAATTAGATTTGAGCAATTTTCAGAAGTTTTTTATGCTTTTTAATTTTGCCAATTTTCATAAGATGATCACAATATTTTATCTCAATTTTAAAATTATACTTAGTCCTGTAGATTATCTTTCACACGATGTAAAACTTGTCTAAATATAATAAATGGTTCGCGAGATATGAGGTTTCAAAGCTGCATACCTCTTACGGGATGCGAAAGCCGCTAAACCGGCTTTCAGCGTCAGAAGACTTTCTCGGGAAAGCCGGTTTAGCGGCTTTCAGGGTTCAAAGAGTTAACGAAATCAACTTCAAGACGACCCTATCAAGAAAAAAAAATTGTTTCGGTGGGTCTGGTCGTGAAGGTTTCAGTCTAACGTTGGACACCGATACTACAACCAGATATAGTTGCCAATGAAACTTAAGCGAGGCATAATATTGCGACTTTGTGATCTGAAAGGAAATTCTGATGGGTAGCCGGCTAGCCGCAACCTTTTGTTTAAAGAATATTACGAGATACGACTTAAGAGTCTAAACTTTTATTTGAGAGGGGTGTAACCCAAGCTAATTTGCAAATAGTATTCATGGTACCAAATGTATCACACACTTTACAGTAATTATAAATTATATTTGAAAAATAAAGCACATCAAAAATGTATTTTTAAAAAACAATTGGTTTTATCTGCAGATACTAGGTTGATATTGAGATTGACCATTTCAATGCTAAATTTTCTTTAGTCAAAAGGCACACTTGATTCGCAAAAATTTGTGAATGCGCACAGTACACCAATTTGTCTAATGTTTTGATTCCATAGGCAGGAGGTTGTGGATCGGTGCTGCTCAGGATGGGATATTTTTGCCTCTAAATGCATATTACGTGCTCAGATTCGACTGTTTTCAAGGTCTGAAGGCTCCAACAGCCTTATTTTATGGGTACACAAGAGAATTTTCAGTGTGGCATGCATGGGTCAGTTGGAGTCACTAACCTCAAGATATCTATAAGCAAGGATAAGATAACCTGGAAGTAACATTCCATAATTTAGAGTAAAAAATGTATCTGCCTCCACAGCCCTTTCAAATGGAAGATATGATGCCTCGGGGGTAATTTCTATCAAATATTTTACAGTATTATGGTTCTAGTGAAAAGGGGTGTAGGCGGCTTTTTTTAAAGTGTGGTAGGTCTAGTCGAAAGACACATTAAATGTTTATGCTAACAACTGCGAATTAATATTGCAACGCATACAAGTTAACAGAATTTGTTGAAATGGTCCTGCCTTTTGCCTTTCTTCAAAATCCTCCTTTTTCTAACTATTCTCTTCTTCTCTGGGGATGGCGAAAATTCAAATATCGATGGGACATGTAAGCAGCTGATAATGGGTTATCTTCCCTTTTTCCTGAAAATAAATTAAACACTAATCATCATTTGACAGTGCCAAGTTTGTGTATCAGATCAGTAATAAATTACCTGCTAACTAACAAAACAATCAGACAACACCTTCTGACCATTAATGAAGATTTCTTTCAATTTAAAACGCAACTATGCCTACCAAGTTTTAGGATAGAATTTATCTGTGGTTGGGGACAGATTGCAAGGTGCAACATCGTACGATTACCATTCTATGTCGGGATTAGTTAGCCAGTTATTTGTTTTAGAAGCATGGACTTGATGGTGGGGGATGTCGTAATCGACCAGCGGTCGTGTGAACCACCCTTAGTGGGAGGAGAGCTGCAATCCCCTCGCACATAACTATCCCCGCATGGGATTGGAACCTGTGAAACTCCCAGGGGGATCAGAGATGCGGTGGCGAGCGTATTCTCAGAGAATTCAATTGAATTCTGGTTATTTTTTGCATTAGCACTGGCATTAAACTTTAGTTATCTATTATTTTCACACTACTAATAGATTACCTGCTAACTAGGGAAACAATACCTTATGGCAATTATTGATTAATACCTTACACGAGTCAAGTCTGCAAGTAGGCCTACGCCTAAGCCTATCAATAACAGTAGTTTTGTCATCTGCTTTCCATTGAAATGACGGAGCTTATGAATATTTAAAAAAATTGATAACGGCACATCATGACTCACCATCAACGAAGTGCCGTCCGCAAACAGTGAAACACAAGTAAGATGGCTTCTGGACTTGACACCAAGCAGTCCTGCCAATAGATGATATCCACATTGCGCGACGTTCAGGATCTTTTGAAAACAGTGGAATATAGCTGAAGATCCATTTCGTTGTCTATGCTATACGTACAGCCAGCGGAACAATACGAAATAACCATTTTTAACAGCCAATCAAAACGGAAACGTATAATCCGACTTGCAACTGACAGGAGCCAAATGGACGTTTTTGTTTTATTGCCGTCCAGCAACAAGGTCACGTGACCCGTGCAAGTCCTCTATACCGCTTCTGCGTTCGTTCCCACTAGCCCAAGTATGCGCTGAAGCGCTTACGCGTTCGGAAAAATATACTTTTTTAATATTTCAACTGTCAAGTCGAATATTTGATGGCCTACTTCATTCCCAGATAGCACAACTACGTTGGGCCAACGTTATAATCCGCCGGCAACCGTTGTACGCGGTTTTACAACCATTTACCATGGTAAGGCCATGATTGGCCTTCAACGAAACACGCCATTATGCGAAGAAATGGGCGCGCGATTCGAATATAGCACATGAGGTCGCCATTCATTTTGGCGGTACTCGTAATCGATAGCCTGTTACGAGGTTTTTGCCGTGGATGGGACAATGATAGATAGATACTTTATTTGTCTAAGTGCAAACATTTCCGCAGCCAAAATCCAACCCATTTAACGACTCAATCCAGTAATCTGAATAGTTGTACATTTGTGAACCTTCTGTCTGATGAATTTCAACAAATCTAAATACAGATCTCAATTGGCTTAAATCTAAAATATGTTTTAACAATTGCCACAAATCAAACTGAAACTAAAATTTGATTGTTTTTGGGGTAAAAATAGCTCAAGGATTATTGTTTCCGCTTTTGTTTTTGTAACACTTTAAATAAAATTTTGTTTCTAAAGTATAACTTTTTACGCCACACATGCGAGATGCGACATGGCCCGCCAGTCTAGGTGCGCAAAATTTTTGCACGTGGTCCGAGAACTTTGCCCAACCCTGCTCTAGTTCATATTTTCAGCTTTGTTGAGAAATAAATTACTGATTTTGAATAATATCTTATTTTGTTTTAAAATTCAATAGAAATTATATTGGGGTATCATATATATTAATATGATTTATTTTCATTATGTATGCTATGTAAGCTTACCCAATCAACCTTAATTAAGTGTTATTATATTTTAAAGTGAATTGGAAAGTAGACCGCTAGCAAAAAGATTCGGGCGATTGGGGGGAAGCCCATCTCTGTACAATGACTGCCAAATGTGCATGCAACTGTGCAATGCCCAGCGACTGTAAAAGCATGAAGTATTGTACGACACATCCTTTACAAATATTTGGACATATTTTGTGTAATATCCATTTTTTTCCGGTTATTCTAAATAATTATTACCGATTAGATATTCTGTCAAGTGTCAATATTACCATTGTAAGTTTAATGATATATACCATTTTTATAATAGGCCCTATGACAATGGACTGGAAAATTCACCTGCTTCAATTCCCTCTTTCACGCAATCATACACTGTGTCATTTCAAGCATCTCAATGTTTCAATGCGGACAATGCCCAAAACAGGTGTTTTTGTTTTATAGTTTGATAGTAGCTCCTTGCATATCTGTGCCATAAAATATTGCACAATAGCTAGATATATCGGTTGAATAATTACCTAGTACAACATCATGTGGTTAATACCGTATTTTCCGGCGAATAAGTCGCTTTTCTAGACCCAAATTTTTGGCCTGATTTTTTTTCCGGACAATAAAATACCTTCGGCGATAGCATCCCCCACGTCCTCATCAGGTTAGTTTAAATAAATCGACATTCTTGTGCTGTGAATCTGAAATTTCAATGCTGTGATTATCATATTTGCATTATCATATATGGACTGAATATTATGCTACAAAAAAAAGTCATAGGCTATTTTAAGCAATGCGCAAACGCGGCGACCGCTCAAAAGGCATTGCATGGTAATTTGAGATTCCCGACGTTGATGCGATTTTACTACCTCGACTTATCGGCCGGTTATATGCAAAAACCCATTTTTTCAGGCTTAAAAACAGGCCTCGTCTTATTCGCCGGGTAGACTTATTCGCCGCAAAATATGGTAATTAATATTAATGGAAAATTTATATTCTGGTAATTAGTATAGGCCATTCGTTCACGTTTATCATCTGAAAGACAATCATGTACTATATATTGTGTAACACTCACTTGATTTTCAGAGATCAAGCCATGCTCCAATCCAGTCCATGGAAAAATTGTTGGGACAGGCGGTAGAAACTCTTATGCTACAAGCTACGGCATCTGCAACTTTCCACTGATTATAGTGTGGACTCGGACATACAGGAATTGATGAAATTCATTGTCTGATTACATTTTGATCCAGAATACATTCAAGGATGAAAAAATGGCTCGTAAGTTGAATACTTTTATAGGCTGATTAAATACACTTTACGGCGGTGGTTCCCAAACTTTTTTTTCCGCGACCCAAATTTTTGTAAAATCACAGACTGCAGATACTTGCGACCCCACAACGAGAAAACAATAAAAATCAATTTATTCTATTTAATCATTCTGATGAAAATCGACTGTAAGTTTGCGCGGCGTTGGTGTAACGTGGTTGTACTTAACTGTTTAGTTCAGTGGTTCCCTACCTTTTTACCCCAGCGGGCAAGCAAAATTAATTTAAAAGAGTTCGCTGACCGGTAACACATGCCATCGTATGAAGACCACGCTGTGAAAATCTCTGAGATTCAGAATATTTGTTTAGTTTTAGTACAATGTTAAAATATTGCAGATTACTCCATAATTAATTGGAAAGCTAAACAGAATATGAAAGTAAAATAGGTGAAAATACCTTTTCTGGGTCTCATCTTATTGAGTGCCTTTTATTTTTTGTCGTTTTGTTTTTGACTGCATGAAGCGCTTCGAATTTATGTATGAAATACAATATGCCCCATATTTTCACATCGTGTTCAAGGAAGATTATATAAATGTCTAAATACGATCCGATTGCAATATTAAAATTGTTCACTTTTATACGAATGGGATGTGGACAAAACGCATATGTGTATATTTTAGAGTAGATACTCGCGATAATTAACATAGAGCTTTTGCAACGGATGGAAACCTTATTAGATGTATTCTTATAATTGTGCTTATTTACTCATTCCAGATAAGATATTTCGGAGGTTGCTCCAAGAAAGACTGGATTGGACAATCATGAGCTCAGTTATAACAAATTTACTCGCCCGGTCTTTCAACTGTGCAGGACGCGGTGGATAAGGAGTGAGTGGGACGCCCTTTAGTTTCTGCTATTAAAGGTACCGGTATGTAATATGTTTATCATATTGTACCACCATCTTTCTCTGCTCTACCCTCTTCTATTTTAAGTATAAGATTATTTTGACTCCAAATCAGCTTAAGATAATTCATAAGGGATAATTCATAAGGGAAATGAACAAAAATTGGTTAAATAGAATCTGACAATCTGGAGTGAAAACAAAACCTTAATTAAGATTGAAGCGTAAAGAATATAAGGTTTTGCCAAAAACATGCCTATCTTGTTCATGAATTAAATTAAGTTACACACACACAATAACAACAGAGATATAATAAAATAAAAACAGGCGAGAAAATTTAGATAAGTTTGGTAGTAAACAGAATGTACTTGCCAGTTGCCACACCATTCATTTTTATCATATGATTGTCAAATTGAATAATGATTTTGTAAAAAACCGTGAACAGTAAAGAAATTGAATGTAGATTTTGTATACAAAAGTGAACAGTATAGAAAAATATTTATTAAGGAGATATCGCCAAGCTGATTATGGTTAGAGTCAAGTGCCAAATTGCCAATCCAATGTTGCCAGAGTTTGGTGCATAATGGCGAACAGTGGTATTTGAACTTATTTGTATCCTCGCTCCCTTACAGTACCCCCCCTAGCACAACAGCAAATGATGAAGTTACAAATAAATTTATTGTAAATCAATTAAACAAATAGACTAATCATGGTGCATGATGTTTCTAATAAGATAGATGAATTTCAACAAGGAATATTTGAAGACATTTTAGCCAGATAAAATCTCAAATCATCATTATTCCCTCCAACAAATATTCCCCTCAAAACACTGTCTACGCCGCCCCCCCTTGCGGAATCAAGAATTTCTGTATTTCTCAATTATTATTGTCTTGTCAATATAAGCTTCACTCACACATTTGCGACTGCAGAAACTTGGCTTAAGATTCCTACTCTGAAAAATTTGTTGGGATGCAGTCATTCAGACTAGGCTTTGAACTATGGTGCTGTAATTTGCTAATACTGCAATTTAACACAGAATTTTTATATTTTTCAGCTCTGGATGATCTGGCAACGAACTCCGATTAATTTTATAACATGTATACATATTTGTAAAATAAAGACATTTTGTTATCTTTCGTTTTTTATTATATAAATAATGTTAGATTAGTGGGAAATTTCTATGTAGTATAGATCCATACCCTGTCTGTACAACACATCGCCTAACTTGGCCCGACCATGTGCCACGATTGTATTACAACTTGTCACCTACGTAGGCCCGGCCATATGTCACGATTGTGTTACAACGTATCGCCCACGTTGGACCGGCCATATTTCACGATTGTGTTACAACGTATCGTCTACGTTGGCCCGACCGTTTGCCACGGTTGCATTACAGCGAAAAGACCGACGTTGGCCCAGCGGCCAAATCTTCGCTGGAACATGGTTGTTCGCCATTATTGGGCCGGTGGTTCGAACAACGTTCGGCCATGGTTGTTCCGACGTAGTTGTGCTATCTGGGTTCTTTCTCCTCAATGCTGTGTTTTCTGCTCAGAGTTGGTCAAACTCAAAAATTTATTTCACATTGATTATTCCCATTACCTAATAATTACAAAAAGTGAACGTAATGGGGAAGACAAAATAAACTAGGCTAACTGAGATCTGAGACGATTTCCTTTCCTCGTATAGTTAATATGTGGATCCTTATCTCAGTAGGCATTTGTTTCTGACGCCTAATAATTCAGTTTAAATAAAGGTGAGAAATTTAATCGAACATACAGATCAATAGCAGAAAAATATTTCAACATAGCTCCTTTATAATACAAGAGAGCAATGCTCAAATATATGGACACGCAGAACAATTCCCCAGAAATCATATGCGGTGACCAACGACTAACATACCGGCGGTGACTTACCAGTACCTGTATCGGGGTACCGTGACGGTACAGGGACTGTCATAGATATTTTAGGTCCTGTGACAATTGAAACATCAGTTGAAATATCTCGTGATATGAGTCAATTATGTACCGTATTATCGGATCAGGTACCGAACCACAGTCAAACATTTCACTAAAAACGTTACTAATAACATGCGTCAACTTAACACCAGCCGAATCGGGGTACAATTTTTGGTACAGTGACTGTCATAGCCGTTTAGGGCTGATGGACAATTCGACTACACGGACAACTCACCAGGCCTAGGGTGGTGTAGCCAGTCTGTGGACAATTTCATTCAAACCGCTATAAAACAGAAACCAATATATCTAACCCGTTAATTTTTTCACCGTGGGTGCATTGGCGGCATTTATTCTACACGCTAAACCTCGTATTAACTTTCTACGACAAAGGGTTAAAGCTATACAAATCCCCAAAGTACGGCACTCGAAAGACGTATTTGCGACCGAACGACCGGTGTGCGACCACGAATTTCAAGCCTTGATCATCGTTTCTGCTGCGTCGAGACAATCGCATACGCAGCCATACAGCAATCAAACAGACAAAACACGGTGGTCGCAAATTGGTTGACAATTGTTGGTCTTTGTGACAGCCGTAAAAACATTGGGCTTCTAATTGCATTTCTGACCGTCATATATTTCAAGAACACGGTTATTTCGAACAAAACTCGTTAAATTATAAACAAAGCACCACATCACAGCAATCAAACAGACGAAAACACGGTGGCCGCAAATTGGTTGACAAAGATATTATCGACGTATCGGAAATGCACACCCCCTATTCCCCCTCCTTCAAATGTAGAAACGCGAAACTTTCAAATATGGTTAAAAGAAACACAACTCTACCCACCTGCCAAGTTTCATCTCTTTATTTCTCATATTTGTATGGATTTTCAAGTTTTTGTCAGCTACGAGTTAGTTCAGTGTCACCGCGCTGTGTTACGGTACCAGAACTTCCCTATCTTTAGAAGGTCCTGTCTTGTGACAGCGTGAATTGAAATTGCAAGATGGTCCGTTGGACACAAAATGGCGTCCGATATCCGCAGAACGTTTAGTGACGTCATAGCAAACAAAAACAAATCTTACAGAGCTAACAGAAATATTTGAAATAAATAAAAGTAATAGCCTTCTGGAGAAAAATTTCATCTTCAACCACTGAAAATTTCAAAGCAATTAGTCCAGTAATCAAAGAGAAAAGCGACTTTTTAAAAACGTGTCAAAGAAAAAGAACAACAACAACAACATAATATTGAAACGATCGTTATGTCCACTACGTGTCCAATAATTTCCATCCTGATCGTAAGTAAGAATATCAGGTGGGTGAACTTATAGACAGTGCTCCAATAATCGCTAATTAGGCATTCACTTACGTCTATGCTTTGCCATCTTCAGATTTCTGAAAAAAAAAAAACGTTTACATAAAATTAAAAATATGATACAACCTTGCTAGGTACAAATTTAATTGTTTCGGTTCGATTTTCTGTCGAACTTCTCGTCGGCATTAAATGGCTTTCGGTGTTTCCCAAACATCAAATATATATTAGGTAAGAAAGACATGCGTTGAAAATCTGGCGCTTTCGGAAGGAAAATAAAAATGCGCACGAAATTCGAAATGTGAAACAATTCAAATTACCTCAGATTAATTTGATTGGATGTTCTGATTTGTTAAGGCGAGTCCTTATTCCTCGCGAGAAGTTTGTAGGAAATCTTTTCTTTCAATCACTACATTTGGCTATAAATGAAATTTAAACAAAATATACTGCGGGGTAAATACCGATTTTACTTATATCGCTATTTCCTGGACCTAGCCTAATAATAGGGAACGTCATGTTATACTATATGCTGCCCATTCTCTGATTGGAAAATAATTCAGAAACTCGCATTTCCGTGAAGCCTGTCAGCAACAAGTTATCGTAATATTGTCGAAAAAGAAGACGGAAGATGCTTTTTCGCCGAATTCGTCACACTCGTGGCCAGCATGCACATTTGTAATCTAGCGGCTTGCACAGTTCGCATCCTAGGACCTAGATGATGGGACAAACGATATTCATGTTTAATTTATGCCTCACATCATTTTATCACATATATGATTGCACACTTACTCTCTACGCCTTCCAAGGTGCTTTTCAAATTCGGATTCAGAAACCCAATTTGCTCCAGCAAAAGCTCCGGTTCTAAAACAGATAACTTAATTAGAGTGGTTCAAGAGCAATGATGAAATGTTTTGTCTGTATGCAAAAATCGTTATTAGACTACAGATCATCGTAGTATACAGGAGTTTAACGCCCTATTTTAAAGTTATGAGCCAACATGAATGCCAAGAAAAATACCAGGTTGAAAACTTGAAGCTGCGAAACCAATCTTCTTGCTCTATCTCTGTGAATGGAATTGCGGCCAATAAAAGTAACAAATATGTTGATAATACAAATTGGAGATAGCATTATCTCAATATTGAAAGGATGTCAGTTACATGACTACAAAAGTCCAGCATAAAATGGTTTGATATATTTCTTGGACGACCTACGCGACAGGTCCAGCAGTCAATGTGGCAGGAACCTCACATTATGTATATATATAATTAGTTGACCGTGTGACTTTCAGTCACGTTAGTACCGAAAGTGACATCGCTGTTGCACTTTGATGTCCCTAAGCTTGGATATTCCGAGTCAATTGCATTAGACTCGATATCCGAACAAAAAATCTGCACAGGGCGCATGGACGTATATATATATATATGTACAAAGGAGATGTTTCATGAGTTGGCATGATTTCGGGTAAAATTTATGATAAATTAGAAAAATATTGAATATGTCATGTAAACAGCAGTAAGAGATGTTATCACAATTATAATTTCGACTTTTGCAAACATAAGTTATCTACAATTTTCTGTAAGCTATTAGTTGATATAAATTGTACACACCATACTATTCTAACAACTACAAAAAATCGAATAGCAGACTAAGTACCATATTCAAAATATTCTGAACCGAAGAACATCCTACCTCAAACATAAACGGATATCAAAGATACCAGTACGGAAACAGATAATTTAATATTTATTCAAAGAAAGGATATATTATTGCCTCCTTACCCAATCAACAGTGTCGATACCATATTAATATACCTGTGTTACTAAAACACTCAAAATTACTCACAAAAGGGCGAGATGGTTTGTTGTTACATTATTATTCCACTATCTATTTTGCGTTGCGGAATCTATGTGCAAATATATTTCTAAAGTTTTGTTGTTTTCTGTGCTGTTCTGTTTCTCTGACGCTTTCTTTCTCTTTCGCAATCTCAACTTTCTTTTATTTCTATGAAGTGATTCATTGCTATCAGAGTCTTCCTCTAGAATAGTTCCTCTTCAAAATTTACAGCAATTGGAACCCATATTCATATGTTAGTCGATCATATATTAAATATATTGGCCACAAAACGGTAATATAACTGAAATTTCAGAATTGTGTATCAACAAAAAATAGTTCTACTATTCAACTGAAAAGCCAAATCCGGCACCAATGTACCAGTAGATTAAAATATATAAATACAGACGTAAATTACAAAAATGTAATCGAATTCGAGTTCCCTAACTGCTTACTTATTTGTCAAAGCAATCATCAAATACTGATGACTGATTGGTCATAAGTATTCTTGGCAACCCAGCTAATTTATTGTGATGTAATTTTGTTTTACCGTTGTGACAAAACGAAAGGGTTGCCAAGGAATGAAAGGTTACCGTAAACGCCAAATGGGCAACTGTGAACATACGAATGAAAACATATTTAAAAATATTGATGTGAACGTAATAGTTAGTGTGTGTTGTGTTGCATGATTTTAAAATATGTTTTTATATGATGTCGTTTTCTAAAGTGGCAGTTGCCACCTATTTTGCGTAGGTAAAATAACAATAAATCTGTTAAAACTATATATATTACCGATAGATAGAAAGTCGCAATTCGTTTATGGGCCATATTGATATATTAAATAGATACCGAGTAATACAGGACCTAAACCACTTCGCTAACATGACAGATGAAAAAAACGGTCATATCGATTATTTTGGAAAACGAAGTGAACCTATGGATCGTTTTGTTAAATTGTTGTTGTTAGTATTCTTCTTGG